TCGGGGATCCAGATGCCCTAAAGGGTGGAACACACGGGTGAGGGGGTGCGGATTGGGGAGGGTCCCATCCCACCGTGCTGCCCCCACCCCTCACCTTATAGACGGTGCCAAAAGCGCCAGAACCCAAAACTTTGACTTTCTTGAGCTCCGTCTCCTTGAGAATCCTCATCTGGGCTTGGTTGGGGAGGGCCCCGCTGGGCGTCAGTGGCTCCACCAGCTGTGGGGTACAGAGGGGTGAGAGGGGCCATGTTCCTGAGCCCCCCAAACGCTTAGGGTCCGTCCCTGCACCTCAGGGTGATCCCCACCTCGGTCTCCTGCAGCAGCCGCCGCATGGTGTGCTTGCGCTCCTGCTGCCGCCGGCGCTTGACGCAGATGACGGTGATGAGGAGCAGGACGATGACCAGCAGGGCTCCCACCACGCCGGCGATGATGGACGTCACCTGGCTGTGGGGCAGGAGCCCGTTGGCACGGGGAGACCCCCAGAATGGGGGGACAGGGGTGGCACAACGCRGCCACGCTCCTACCTTGGCTTCTGGTCCACGGGGCACCCGTCCTCATCCCGGATCGTGCACCTGGGGACACAGCGTGTGGTGCCCACTGTCAGCAACCCCCCCTCAGCCTCCAGCACCCCTCTGCCACCCCCTTTTCAGCCAGGGAGCCCCCGACTCACGAGTGGGTGCAGTTGGTGGGGCAGAGCTGGCACACCCCAAATTCATCGGGGTATTTCCAGACGGGCACAAAGGAGGCGTCGGCCTTGACGCCGCTGGGGCAGCGCCGCACGCACTGCTGGGCGTCCTTGTAGTGGGCACAGGCCACGCACTGGTCTGGATCCTGCGGGAATTGGGGGGATTGAGGGATCCAGGGGTCCAAGGGCATCCCCACCCACCCCACCCGGTGTGTGCCCCGTGCTCACCGATCCGAAGCAGGTCTCGGTGCCGTTCTGGGGCTGGCACTCGGGGTGGCACGGCAGGCAGCGCGTCCCGTTGGCGTGYTCCCGGATGGTTCTGCGGGGTGAAGGGGCAGGGATGGGGTCTCAACCCCTCCCTGCAGGGTGTGGGGGGCTCTGTTTGGGTTCCCGGGGGTCTCACTCACCCCTCCAGGAGGTTGCAGGAGGCCACGCACTCCTGGCCGCGCAGGAACCGCTCRCACGCCACGCACTGGGTGGGACCGGGACCCCAGCAATGTCCCTGGGCGCAGAGGTGAAAGCAAACCAGCCCCTCGCTCTCTGCAGGGGGGGAAATCAGCACTGAGGGGTCAATTAGCACTGGGGAGGTCAGTCAGCATTGTGGGGTCAGTCAGCAATAGGGGGGGGTCAGTCAGCACTGAGGGGGTCAATCAGCATTGTGGGGTCAGTCAGCACTGGAGGGGTCACTCAGCACTGGG